TCTTTAAAAATGTCAATAGCTCACGAATGACCTTGTATCTTGTGGACTATTGACATTTTTAAAGATATAAGCTCACTCCGACATTAGACTCATCGAGACCTTTCAGTTGAGTACCCATATCAATTTTTCATATATTTATATATTTATATATATATTACATATATGTATATATGAAAAATATATAAAAAATACCATGTGGGTACTCAAATGAAAGCTCTTGATGAGTGTAACATCGGGATGAGCTTATATCTTTAAAAACATCAATATTTAAGAAAGTACAGTGAAATTTAACAAGATTTATTATTCAATAAACCAAAATTATATTTATTATAAAAATAATTTTAGTGACATTTTCAAATTGTTAAAATTTTTTTTAAACAAAATACTTGATAAAAAATTAAATTCCAAACTTTATAAAGAAGACTCATTTTACATAAAAAATAAAATAAAATGAAACATTTCTTCTATTAAAAAAAAAAAAGTTAATCTCTTATTTTAAAATCTTTAACTTTTGCACTCGCAATTTTTCACTTACAATCTTTCATAAAAATAATTACATAAATTCAGTAAAAAAAAAAACATATGTGACGTTTAAATTTAAATGTTTATTCAATATGTTAATTTATTGATCTATTTACCTATTATTTAGCAGCAACTGTCTGTTGACTGTAAATGCATCAAAATAAATTCTAAAAATATCTTTAATAATTATAACAATAAGTACATTGAACACTTGACATCCTTAGTCTTCAGTTATCCAACAGACAGTTGAGTCCTAAAATTTTTTTTTTCTAAAATGTATCATTTTATTTTTATTATTTCAACTATCCTTTCTTTTCCAAGTATGTTAAAAAATTATTTAAAAAAATTTTTTAATTAAAAAATAATTAATTATACTTTTTTCAGATCAATCTTTTGGATCTTTTGGATATTCCAAGCGTCGTTAGTTTTTTTTATATATACCTATTAGAAAAAATAAAAAAATTTTTTTTTTTCATTTCTTTTAATTAAATTGGTGTTTATAGATCAACACAACTGGCCAAGAGACTTCATAGATTGTGGAGGAAAATTGCAATCTCCGATTGAATTGTCACCATCCAAGGCAATTATATTACCTTTACCGTCATTGGAATTATTTGGATATCATAATTATTTGCCACAACTGTCGGTTGTTAATAATGGACACTCTGGTATTATTTAAAAAAAATTAATTACTAAATATTTTCTGAAAATTATTTTAAAAAATTAATTATTTTTTTTTTAGTGTCTTTAAATGTTGAAAAAAATAGTTTAAATACATCCAGAAAATTACCTTTTATTTTTGGTTCGGTGCTGGATGATAATCAACAATTTGAATTCAGTGGACTACATTTTCATTGGGGATTAAAAAATAGTCGAGGATCCGAACATGTTGTCAATGGTATCAGGTAAATTTATTTTTTTAAAAATAAATTATTTTTGATTTTTATTTCTTCTTTGTTTTATCCTAAATTTTTTGAAAAAAAAAATTGTTAATAGATACCCAATGGAAATGCACATAATACACAGAAACAAATTATATACTGACATTGAAGAAGCGCAAGGTCATAAGAATGGTTTAGTAGTTCTCGGAATTTTTTTCCAAGTAATTACAATTATTTATAACAATAATAATAAATAAAAATAATATAATACTTAGGAAAAAAAAATTAACTTGATTCATAAAAAAAATTCTTAAGCAATAATAATAATAATAATAATAATAATAATAATCTGACTTTTGTTGAATTGCTTAAATATTGACGTTTTTAAAGATATAAGCTCATTTCGATGTTACACTCGTCAAGAGCTTTCATTTGAGTACCCACATGTATTTTTGATATATTTTTCATACATACATATATGTAATATATATATACAAATATATGAAATATATGAAAAATTGATGTGGGTACTCAAATGAAAGGTCTCGATGAGTGTAATGTCGGGATGAGCTTATGTCTTTAAAAATGTCAAGAGTTCACAATATACAAGGTCATTTTTTAATTATTGACATTTTTAAAGATATAAGCTCATCCTAATGTTACACTCGTCAAGAGCTTTCATTTGAGTACCCACATCAATTTTTCATAATTTTTCATATATTCATATATATAAAATTTATAAATATATGAAAAATTGATGTGGGTACTCAAATAAAAGGTCTTGATGAGTGTAACATC